ACACTCCCCGCCAAAACATAGGTCCATCCCTTTATTCCATCACGACCAATACACGTTGACTTGGATCCCATTGTGAGAACCTGGGTCACACGGACAGAGCTGAAATGGAAAACAAACAGAAAAGCCAACACACCACAGGCATACCCACAGCACAATCTCACACATCGATGACGACCTGCGCCTCCAGACAGAGACTTCCTCTTGACATCTGACAACACAATCTCCACTTGCTAGAATGACTCTTGCAGAATGCAACGTGACCATAGCACCAACTCATGATACTCTTCGCACATCCTCTTATCTACTCACTACCAATTACCACTGCAATCACTTGTCACTCATTCTGCGTCAGTTCTAGTAACGGTGACGTATGGAAGCCACAGTCGTCTACACTCTTTCTCACCGGCGTGTGAGACAACAATTAATCGTTATCTCCGTGTGCATGTCGTTCTCAGCGGTAGCCTCCCCGGCGTATGCGAGCCATCTGCTGTCCTTAACATCAATCAATTCATTGACGGATGTAGAAGGCTCGAAACAACTTCAGAAGTAACCACGACGAAAATTTTAGCAAAATTATGCAATACTTCAAAGTACGAAAACAACAAGTAAACACAGTGAATCCAAAAACACCAATTGGTATGACAAACCACACATATATACAAACATTGCACATAACCTCGCGAATCATGTCTTGATGGAATTCCTTTGAAGAATTGCATGACTTACACCAGTACTCCTGCAACCCTTCTCAGGTTGACAATTGTAAGTTGTGGAATGTCCGGACACAAAACAGATTAACCAACAATTAAATCAATTGAAACCCACTCAATTACTTAACACAAACATATGTACAGTCAACACATCAAATGTTGATGCCAATTCAGTATATGCAATATGGACATATGTACAAAATAACACACCAAGTACGATGGAATGAGCTTCGACTTACTACGGACGCCTGCAACCCTTCTCCGGTTGGCGCCCTAGGTTGGAAAATCGTCGCAGAGTTGATTTGCTGATTTTCTTCTATCATCTATATGCTCAACTCTGAACGGTGACATGCCCATATCATTGTATCGTAGAACATATGTGACTAACAAACATACGACGTATCTGACCAACCAAGCGAAGGCACAGAGTAATTTACACCAAAGATAATAACATTCAAATAGCAACTTGAAACTTGAAAGGCCTTTATTCGTGCAAACCAGTTTAAAAATTACCCTCTGGTATACAGTTGGCTTATCCTCATCAAACTGACTAATATCTTTCGTCTTTTCAAATGCACGGATACTGGCGTAGTTATAGCATAAGACGTTTGAGTTCATGGACGTCCCTTTCATTGTGGATGACAACACCAACGACAACTGATTAATGCCAGTTGATGAACTTGGCGGTGCATCAGAAGCTGTTGTTGTTCGGCCTTTAGAAGGTTGCCTAACTGCAAGATTACCACCACTGCTGTCTTTTGTTATTGGCTGCAGTTTAGCATAAACATCTGATGATAGGTGGGCTACACGCGGATCATTTACACTGACAGTCTCATGAGTATCCATACCTTCCACCACCGCATCCGCTCTTAATTCTACTTCACGTTCAAGTTGTACAGAACCTTTGTTCAACTCAGCAGTATTAGGCATTCCCCTGATCTCATCATGATCAACAAAAGACAAAAGTGCACTATCATAATCATTGTCACAAATATTCACTTTACCGTCATCTACCTGGTCGACTACATGATTTTCATATATGTGATTTTCAAATATGATTTTCAAATTCTTTAATAAAAGTAGCAGTTGATTTGCGTTCCTCCTCACAAATCCTTAAAGGTTTTGTACCTTTACTCTGACTAGTAATACCTTGTAAACTTGTGGAGTCAGAACTGGACTCTGAAGCTGTAACTCTCTTCTCCTGCACAAACTGCGGTGTCGTCTGTGACACTCTATTCAACAATGGCTTACCAGTTGCTACTACAGGTTTCTTCACTGCACCATTATCGTCACACAATTTGTAGTCAGACCTTGATGAGGCTGATTTCACATTTAGCTTACTACTAAACTTGCTCACTGATTCACAGTTCACCTTTGTATGAACTTCTTGCAAACACAGCCGTGTTTGTCTCGCAACTTGTAACCTGTCTGTTGAGGATGTAACACGAAAGCTGTTACGCTCACTAAGTTTATATGGATTACTAAACACATAAAGCTTTCTCGATATCCGCTTCTCTGAGACCCGTTCAGCATAAATGATTGCGTTTTGTTCTCAGACTGCTCTATTGTACGGGTAGGATGCAATATACTTGCAAACTTACTCATACACTGATTGATACTATCTTTTACCAGTTTCAGGATATCATCGAACTTGACTCAATACCTCCATCCTCTATACGAGAGCACATCTTCAACCACTTCCTTTGCAGTCGAGCAGGTAGGCGTCTCGCTATCACCTCTAGGACAGAACTTGAGTTCAGATCTCTCATGCAATTCATCGAAATCAACGCATTCTTGTAAGTGAACAGACTATCCGAAATCTCAGAGAGTGCCTTGGAGCCATCTCCTAATTGACTACCACTACCTTTAACAGCCACGAATACGTTCCTTACAATCATCTAAGGTCTTCCAAATCTTTGACGCAGGATATGCATCGCCTCGGTATATCCTTCGTTTGAGGGCATAACCTTGGAGCACTGTATAGCTCTTGAAGCAACTCCAGTGCAGTACCTCATCAAATACATTAACTTAATTCCATCATTGTATAAAAAACAACTCAACATGATCTCAAACTCTTTGATAAACTGTGGTAGTCGGTTGGGTTTCCATCAAGGTACTGAGACTCGAATTTAGTCAGCTTTAAACCCTTACTATCCCTAAGCGGCGAAACATGAACAACAGACTGATCATGCTGAGCATCATACATACCATTACATGTAACATGTAACGTAACATGTAACTCAACATTACTTACTTTCCTGCCTGCTTCTAAGACGCTTTGTCCGTTCTTTGACCCAGGCAAAACTGAACTTGATCAAAAATTTCAGAAAAGTTCCAGATAATATCTGTCCAAAGAAGACTTGCAGGCACCGGGAAGGACGAACAAAAACTATCAGAAACTATCAGAAACTGTTAGCCAACTCTCATAAACTGTCAATGTCCAGGTCTTACTTCGCTGGACCTCACGCTGTCCTTGGAAGACTTCTAGAAACAATTTGTATTAACCAACGCGAAAAACCAGAACACAGATTGGCGACTTGAGAATCCTTCATTCTTACTCCAATATGTAACCAACAATAAGGTTATTATGCACAAGGTCTAAGAATAAATGTTATAACAATAAATCTCGATAACACTTCTGATAGTTTTCGATCTTCCACTGAACAGGGAACGATGAGACGATGATCGATGAATTGATGACTCCCGTGAAAACATGGAGTTGGGTTTGAGCAAACAAACATGAATTGATCGTTCAGTCGTCAACTATATTAACATCCCCCTTGAAGATCGGTAAAAGAATGGCTCTTTTCCTCTCTCTTGGCAGTTTCCTCGAATTCATCAAGTAAGCCCACATTTTTTAGTGTCTCACTCTTATGCTGGAATCCTTGTCGATAGCTAACACTTGAGCTAGTAGCAGTATTCTTTCAGCCTCTTCTGCTGAGCCAGTGTCATCCTTAATGGAGGCAGCTTACCTTCAGGTGTCTGAACCCACCTGTACAGCCTGCACACTTTTGCTGAATTTATATTCAGACCTAATTTACTGCACAAATTGGATCTTTGTTCCTGATCAAACAGAGCCTTTTGTCCAAGTAAACTGCTGCTGCACACGGGTAGATTAAACAGGGTAAGGGAATTCGATCGACTGATCTCAGAATTAAGTTTGGTCTCCGGCGGCTTATCCTCCTTAGTAGGGCTGGTCACTTTAGATTTCATCAGGTTCTGACTTTTCTTTGCTATGTTGCTAGGGGATGCAAGCGGTGCTTTGGCGATTCCAGGCTGTTCCAGGCGTAGCCTTGAGGGCCTTCAGTTTGTGAAGATTGATATTTCCAGTCTGTTGGGCTGGAGTATCATTCTTACGGTTCTTACCAAGTTTTGGTGGTGTGATGTTATCAGGTGGAGTGCTACATGAGACTATGTCGAGACAGAAAGGTTGCCTGTATTTTTCGCTATCCCGAGTTGTGTTGTGTGAGACTGTGACACAGTGACAAAGTGGGCAAATGTACCAGAACCAAGAACATGGGTTATTTCGCGTAAATTCATAATATGGTCACACAGGCAGGGTATCTATCGTTTATGAAAGTTGCATTCAGAGGTTGAATCTGTTCTGGAAAAGACAGCGCTACGAGCTTTGCATTTGTCTCCCTTTCTAGAAGATGATTTTTGGGTCATATGACGTTTTGAGCCTTTCTTTTTTGTTTTGCTGTGAGTTACACACTGGCTTCCAACGGATATAGGTGTAGTATCACGTCCAATTGGTTTCGCCTGTGCCATTTCAAGGCTAGACTGTGGCAATTTAGGGATAGTTTCAGAACAGGGGAGATAAACACGGCTCTTTAGAATTGGTATGTGAGATGGGATTAATGTCCCTGGGTTATTGCCTCCCCTGGCTGAAGCCCCTGTGACTGCACAGTATGATGTTTTGGTACTTTTTAAAGGCTACTTTCAACTGCCATATTAACAATTACTATAACTTATGCATGAATAAGAGATATCAACATTATCTGCCCAATAGAAGGAGAAAAAAAGATTGATTAGGTACAAGATGAGGAAGATGAGAGGTTTTCAAATTTACCTAGAACTTTCTGGATGATCGGCTCCACAGCAATCACATGGTAGACCAACAAGTTTTGTTTGTCTGGACGAGTGAGGAAGATGCTGCTACTGAAGTGGCACCTGAAGCTTCGGAAGTAGTTCAAGACAGCTGGAATTACCACACAGAAACTTAATATGTAAGTAATGGCTGAATTTAATTCAGAGACCAGTTTACCCAAGCGGATATTTCACAAAATAGGTATTTTCCGGTTGGAGAGGAAAAAGCACGTCGAATTCAAGGGAAATTTGAATAATAGGTATGTAAGTCGAAAGACAAAAACCTTCTGTATTGGATTTAGTAAATGATCCAGAACCGTTCTATAACATGACAAAGAAATTGGATATTGGATTATTGGGTATTATGAAAGCGGTGTGTTTGATAATCAGCGGAGCATAGGCCAGTGATGGAGTTTTGTAAAAATGGCAGTTAGATCAGAACTTAGTGAGCAGAAGCTGGGATACATAAGAGAGTTCGTCAACAACAGAGACCCAAAAGAAGAATATAAGCTTATTCAAAGCATTGGAACTGGGACTTATGGAGAAGTTTACAAGGTATCACATTCAAATGAAGTCACTTTATTCCTAGGCAATTCGACTACGAACAAAGGAATTCGCTGCAGTGAAGATAATTAAAGTTGATGCAAAGGATGATGTACGTGCCATACTTCAGGAAATACAGACCTTGCGAGAGTGTCGACATTGTAACATTGTACAGTTCTTTGGGAGTTATTTTAGGTAAATTGTGTTAAGTATTCTTATGGTATAGAAATAATAAACTTTGGATATGTATGGAGTTTTGTGGTGGTTTCTCGATGCAGGATATTTACACACGTGAGATTTTCAGCATATATTATCAAACATTTATGTAGATATTCAGCGGCCAATCGAAGAAAATTGTATTGCTTTTGTATCCCGTGAAACATTACGTGGAATAGAATATATGCACAAAGCTGGAAAAATACACCGTGATATTAAGGTTAGTGGTGTTAACTGATATTTGCTCTGTAGATTTGTTTCTCACAATGTTGTTAATTTTAATCCGTCATTAGTTGTGTCGAGTTGTAAGAGTGCATTAAATTATTGCCAATGAAGACTGCAGTGTAGCGTAGGCAATTGGCAGGATTTTGTAAGTGATTTACTGCAAAAATGTCAAGAAGTAGAGCGACGGATTGAGTTGTGAAGAGAGTAGAATAATCGTTGCGCAACAATGTAAAAAGCACGAAAAGAAACCCATAACAAACAATATATATAAGTGGGGTTTCTGTATTTTTCTATAACTGCACGTCATTTGTAACTAAAGGTTGCTGCTACCAGATACTACCGTGTCCTGCTGTTACAGTCTCAGTGTTGCCTTTCTTGGTCTGCAATTAATTTTAATCATTAATTTAGTGTTCTACATTCTTATTAATGTCCAAACCACGTTCACGTTTATAAGTTTGAAAAAAATTGGGCACCGGATACATGGTATTCATTGTTATGGAAGATTTTGCATTTCCCAATTAATGGAAAACAAAACGATATTGTTTTTACTGACGTCTCTCTATTTAATGATGAGAGCTTTGTCAAAGTAGTAATATTAGACCAGAATTTACAAAATCTCAACCTGTATATAAAAACCTAATCATCATTCACCAGCAAGGGGTAATTTTTGCGTTGTCGAGTTGATCGACTAGTAAAGATAAAGCCAAGTGTAGATTGTTGGATTCGATAAGTGTATAAGATTATAAAAGCAGTATTTGTTTACATAATGAAATTGCTTATCACATTCCTGTTGATTTTGTCATTTCATGAGGGAGGCAGGTGTTGTAACCAGGTCAAATTCTGTTTTAGTCCATTATTCATATTCAGACAATTTGGATTCCACTTTATATGAAGTGCTTCTGATATTAGACGTTCTTTGTGATTTCTGAAGTTTTTCTGGATGATGATTTCAATATTTTCAGAATCAATTTTGTGTCCTGGTTCTATATTGTGTAGACCTATAGCTGATGATTTTTCAAGTTTTTCTAGTTCAACTGGATTTCTCGGCGGTCGAACAGATGCTCTACGGTGTTCATTTCTTCTGATTACCTTGATTTCTCGTATTGTCTGTCTGTAATAGATCACACCGTATCCCAAGCATTTTATTTCGTTGACACAATTTGATTGAATATCCTTAAGGATTTATTCTTTTATATGGACAAGGTTGCTTTGTAGTGTGTCTGATATTTTGAAGAAAACTGATATCGAGCTTATCGAGTACTCCTCTGATATTGTCTGACGTTTCTGATCCATATGGAATGACAACTGTTGAGGCCTGTTTCTTCGAGATACGTTTTTGACCATATTTAATATCGGTGTTGATTTTGTTGATGAAATTCTTCAGGTAGTTATTTTTCCTGAGAGTAATGTTTGATATTTCTCCTTTTTCATTCTCATCCGTTAACACCAAAAACTGCTCATCTAGGAAGACTTGTAACAACTGATACCTTTGTGCTGATGAAGTGTGATGATCCGAAGTCTAAATATTTGTTGGAGTGGGTTTTCTTCCTGAATACAGACATATTAAAATATCCGTTTTCCCACCCCTTAAACTAGCCAAGCGGTCTAGAAATAATAGTTCACCGAAGTCTGATTCTGCTTGCGAAGTAAACTGGATTCTGGGAGATAGATTGTTCCACATTCTTGTAAAGTTCCCCAGTGCTTAAGTCAGAGTAGATTTAGATACACATGTCTTCCTACAAGATAAAGGGTTTTTTCATATAAAGTATAATTATATTTCAATAGTTTATACACAATGATTGTATTAGTTTATTGGCCAGTCTTTTAATGGAAAGACCGTCAGTTGAATTAATATCGGGTTTTTTGATGTTCGTAATGTGGCGAATGTGATTTAAGAATCTACTGATAGATTTGCAGGAACACTTTTTCATAATTCAACGATGTGTATCATACACTTTTCAGTTTTATCTCTCTGAATGGTTATTACAATGCTCTTGTGGTGGTTTTCTGTACAACTGCTGTGTTGCTGAAGCAAAGTTATACACATAAAACACACATTAAGTCACACAGTCTTCTCTTTCGTGGTTTTTTCTCATTCTTTTTTGCGTTCCCATTAGGAAATAGAACTTCAAGCAAGAACTTTGAAGTTTCAGTAACGATAGGGTTTTTATTAAAAGGAGAGGTCGCTAGCTTCATTCTCAATCTTCCCTATTCACCAAGCTTGTTTATTACGGGCTAAGTGAGGTAAAGGAATTTGTCGGTCGGGAATCTAAACCCAGACTATGTGCGTTGTTGGCGAGCATTCTACCATTGAACCACCGCCGTTTTATCGTAGTTACTACTCATGAACTAATTTTCTGTTAACCACTTCATACCAAAGATTGTATAATTTTTCTTCATCTCTAGAAAGTACATTTCAACATTTATATTTTGTTTGTATACAACTTTGTCATTTATTTTTCCTTGAATTTTTCTTTTTTCAAATAGGGTGCAAATATATTACTAACGAATGATGGTGACGTCAAAATCGGTGAGTCCCGATATCCATCCTACTTAGCTAACTTGTAAAAGCTTACTCAAGTACTATTGGTTTCTGATTAATTTTTACTTATATATATATATATATATATGTCGGCCAGCACTCTACCGCTGAACCGTCGACTCACTTTCATCGTTTTATTTTATCTGATCTATCATTCATTCATTCATGTTTTACTTTTTTTGTTTCAATATATTTACAGCTGATTTCGGTGTTGCAGCACAAATAACTCAAACAATTCAACGTCGGAATTCATTTATTGGTACACCATACTGGTAAGTGTGCATAACAGTTATTTATTTGCTTTTGTCTTTGTAAGCCTAAGAAAGAAATGAAGAGCGGTTAGAATTTGCCTGGTACATGCTTCTTTGTAGGTACTTTGTAATGAATTTCCATTATGAGTTATAAATGCTAGTTTATTTAATCGATTTCTTAGACTGTATATTCCCTGTTTTGAATTTAGGTATTTCCTTTTTATTGAAGCAACTTTAAGACTGTTAGAGTCTCTGATATATATGACAGTGTCTTTCATTTTTGAAGGTTTAGTCCATGGTACAGATTTGAAATTATTCGATTGTCGCCTTTCGCTGGTTATAGGTCCACTTACTCACTTCAAGGTAGGTACATATTGTATAGTTGACAGAATAAACTCTCTAAGATGAGATTATGATTCGACGAAATGGAATAGAAGTCCTATCACAATTAATTGATGATTCTCAATGATATCAGAGTGTTCAAGTGTTGGCTTGTAGGGATTTGATTGGTTACATGATTTCATCATCAGCTGACATTCGTTAGAGAACCAAGTTTGGGACACTTCAGCAGTACCCACCCACCAACGGGAGTTTGAACCCATGACCTTCTGGTTACAAGGCGAGATCATATAGCATTAAGCCACTGGGACCCGATCCAATGGCTAGTCAATGAATTCCAACTTCTGCCAATTCACGACATAGCGCGACCACTAGCCAATGTCTTCAAAGTGTGGCTAAAAGTAGCATTCATATAGAATTGAGGTTTGATCAGTTCAATCATGTAGCTGACCAAGAAATCGGGTAGTTTGAACTGATTCGGCCCTCTGTGCTGAGTCAAATCTGCTACATCGCTAATAACCTCGATCCCGAAACGGACATCCGGTGTTTACATTACTTTGATCTGGTTAGCAAGCGTATAACTACTCGTTTCAGTCAATCAGTAGTATGTAGTTGAAGACATTTGTGCTGATATGGTGTTTATTTACATGAACTAATGTACAGCTCTACCATCTGTTGTATTGTACGTGACTGATTTTATTGATAGACTAATGCTGTATTCATTTACCGTACTTGTGATGGTGCGATTGAATAATTTTTGAACAGATTTCACGACGAATAGACAAAATACGATTAAACAGATGTGTGGCATATATGATTGTATTCTCAATTGGTGAGTAGTTGTTAAGGCATAACGTGATGGCTTCAAAACGTGGAAGTCCTGCACCCCTTCAGAGTCGTTTATGAAAATGATTCTTAAGGGTCATGATATATCTCATTATGGGTAAATTTTGTTTTGATAAAGTCTCACAGTGTTATACAGTAATGTTTACTGATGACGTTTCGAGCACAATTTATTGCTCATAATCATATCAAAGTTGATATGGAATTACACTCTACCACAGTGCACAAGTTTTATTCGTATATCATGATATATCTATTTAGTTGCCTTCTCTAGCTGATACCATTTTGCCACGTGTACCTTGTGATCTCGTATCATGGCGTTCTTTACATTACTTTAAAACCCCGTAGGTAGTACGTTTTGAGATCTTGTTTAAGTGAACTATTACTGAACTGAAATCAGAAGAGATCTTAATAGTTGTCTAGTTCGAGGTAGATATTTTTCTTATTGAAACGCAAACTTGGTGCATTATAGGCATCAACAGATGCGTCACACCAAATCTCATAGTTTGTGCGAGGGTTGAGATACTACTCGGACGCCCGGATCAAAGGAGATGGTTGTCTTAAAGAGCCCTCCTGAGTCTTTGACTTTGAAGTTCCTAGGTTCATACACTATTCGATCTGTCCAAATTCTGGAGTTCATGTATACTTGAGGTTTGGAATCAGGGTTCTTCGCTTCTCCTTAGCGGACCTGGATGTCCACCAGTCCGGTTGTAAGCGCCGAACGTTCGAATTCGCTCTTGTCTTAGGAAGCTACACCCACATCCTCTGACTTTCAATCTGATCTAGAAGCCTTGAGCTGAAAGCTGCGAATGTTTGGCATGCGATTCGCTCCCGCCAAATGTAAGATGATGCTACAGGACTGGACCACAGTGACTGCTAGCTTAGAAATAGGGAGTGAAGTGGTAGAGCGTGTTGACCGCTTCACATATTTGGGAAGTGTCAGTGCCAGCGGGTTGATCGCTGACGAAATCTCACTACAGATACAGAAGGCCAGTTTCGCATATGCCAGTTTATGCCATCTCTGTCTTAGTAGACGTGATATCCAGGTGGCTGTCGACCACAGGGTGGGTGTACTGCTCAGTAGCCCTCTCCATCCTCCTTTAAGGCTAGCTATGAGACCTGGCCATTGAGAGTGGAAGACATGAAAATGCCAGTTAGCTGTCTTCAATCATAGGTGCCTGCGTTCTATCTCCTGTGTAAAATGGTACAATAGGGTGAGCAATATTGAGGTTAGGCGTCGAGTGCTAGGTAAGGAGGGGAAATAAATCGGCAAGGTTGTGAGGTTACATCGACTGAGATGGTTAGGACATGTGTTACGTATGCCTAGTCATCGCTTTCCTCGACCGACAGGCAATGTTAGCTGATATAGGGTCTAGAGGCGATCAAACCAAAACATGTCAACAGTCAATGAAATCTACAACAGTTAGTTTAAGCCATGCAGGAAGATGAAGACTTTCTGACTGGTTTGGGTCCTCGGGATGGTAAAAACCAATGGTTGGAAACAACTGGTAACATGACTCAAAATCGTTCTCAATGATAGCGCAGATGCATCCACTCCTTGTGACTTATGATTTCCAATGAAACTGTTTTGTTCTTCGTTATTACTCTTCTTTGTCTCACACCTCTGTTTACTGTCTGCATTATGCGTTTCCTTTCACTTTCTTCTCTTGATTTGTGTGCAATATGGAGGGATTGTGGCGACTTGAACTGCTGCACATCGGTTAAAAGTTCTTTGTTGAAAACAGATAGGCAGACAAAATTAATGGACTGGCCGTTGACTCGAGTCCGAGCGGCTGAATGGTTTGCGAGGTTGTGTTGTAACTGGAAGATCCTGAGTTCGAAACCAATTGGTGGGTTAGTACTACTGATGAGTTGCAATCTATTATGGAACAGCTATCCACGAATTTTAATAGTCCTCTAACTGATGTCAATCTGTGATGAAACTTGAAACAAATCGGATCCCTAGAAAACTAACTCTTGGAAAATAAGGAGAGATACTCAGCATCCTTCTTATTCTTAAATCCCTTAGTGGTTTTCTTTATTTACATTAATAGGCTTTTAATTTTTCATATATAGATTGATTTGACAAGGAGAGATATATGACCAGAAAAATGTTTTGGTTCGAAATGTGTACTACACACATTTTTATAACAACAGACTAACTTTATCTATCATCCAAATGTAAGAGAAGATTACGTCCTGTAAATATATATAAGCAAAGTTTTCATCAATTCGGGTTAACTACTACTACTATTTTGATAAAGGCTGTTAGCAGTAGCATTCGATAGAAGCCAAAAAAAAATGTCAGCGATAACAACAATTTCGTCTGGCTTTTCATGTATTAGGCAAAATGAAAAATATTATTCTTGTAATCATAAAAAGGATATGCATGTTTGTGTGTATGCATGTATGTATGTATGTATGAATCTAATTTTTCTGTGATATGAAATTTCATTATATAAAAAAATTTTGTGCAGTCACAATCTCCTTCCCCAACTCTTCACCACCACCTCGTTTGTTTCCTCGCCGCGCCCCCACCCCAAGTTGAGAATAATTTTCTCCCCATATGACACTATGACTGTAAATATTATCTTTATTTATACTCTTATCTTTATTATTATCATCATCGTTATAATGTGTTATAATTACCTAGTTGTATTCTTAGTATTATTATTGATTTCCAAGAGTTAGGTAGTATCGATTTGATTTGTTTTCCATGTTTGATCACTGGTCCAACCGATAGCTGTTACCTTGATGTGGTGGTCGCCGGACTTGCATATCTCAATGAACGAACAAACTGCACTGGCTCGAACTATAGTTCATTCCGGTCCTACCTACTATGCAGTTACCGGAATAGTCTAGGAATTTTCTTTACACTATACTGGGGGTCTGTGGGCGTCGTCGTACTGGTGGGGAACAGGGGTATAACACAGAAGTGAAGTGTTTCCCTCAGATGACCAGCATGCCAGTTAGCCAGCTATGCTGTCTCTCACTCTGGAGAAAGAGAGGGGGTTAGAAAAGGTCGACTCCAACAATTGTACATCCCGACTTATCCTACCTACGGTGGTCCGTAACCGGCGGTAAGTTTACTTATACGGAACCAATCCCAGAAGGAACCAGTTCATACAGGCCGTGTGTGACCGGCTGGCCTCAAGCAGTTGTCCCTTCGGCCCTGCGGTCACGCAACACTAACCTTCAGGTACCCGAAGAATCAGTCAACTTCCAAGGTGGTATGGAGACAGCTGGGAAGTAACATCCACCCACACACTTCCAAGAGCACACAAGGCCTTCTTGAGCATCATTCTCCTTTTTGATCACTGATGATTGATATCAGTTAGAGGACTATTTAAAACCAACCAACAGGGATTGCTAGATAGTTGTTTCGCCCTATTTCGGGACTCCTCATCTGTTGATCATGAGTTGATCATTCACTATCATGATGTGTTGCAGTTGCATATTTTAATCTTAGTTTCACAATTTATTATATAAATACTAAATGTTCCTTTTTTGATGGTAAATTGGTGACGACTAACAGTGGAATCCAGGATAGGCATATTTCTGCCTATCTCAGTTTAGTCAATCAATCCACAGGGAAATCATAATTGAATTAAAAATAAATAACAAGCCCACTTTTATCCTAATTACTATGAAACAATCGTTATTTTTTCCCCTCTATTCCCTTCTACAAGTATAGACATTCACAATGATTGACTGCCTGCCTAGACTGCTACCATATAAAAAACACTGGCGTTGAATGTATCCTTGTTGCTATTATTATTACGGTTGTGATCGAGTCGATTATATCACCCGCTGATTCATATGCCCGCGTAGTAAATTTTATTACGTAATTATAAAAACCTGATGAGAATTTATGGAAAACATTTATTTACTCAGATTATGTTCTTTATTGTTATTATTATTATTATTGTTCCCCATGGGTTCTGAATGGAACATTGGGCTTCAAAAACACACCACCACTTTGTCCTATTTTTCTGTGGTCGTATTTGGCTGACCCTGCGATTACTCATAGTCTTGCATATTCTCCTCTCATGATCTCCACCAAGTCACCCTCGATACCGAACTTGTCGTTTCCCATTCGCGTCCCACTCGAAGATATGCCTGATGAGCGGTGTCATTCTAACGTATCCTCAGTCTGTGCTCAATTCATCTTCATTTTATTCAAGATTGTTGTTGGTCAATGTGTTCTTGGTTGGTTTGTTTCGATAGTTTCTTGTTGCTGATTCTTTCTGGCCATTTGATCTTCAACATATAGAGGTACCGAAAGCAGCGGTTGATAAAAGTCTGCAGCAACAAGCTGTTCGAAATGCTTTTCGTGATGTGTAGTCTAAGTTTCCGACCCATATAGGAGCGCTAACTGACCTAATATTTGTGTTGAAAATCCAAATTTTGTTGTTTATGCCGAGGAGTGCAGAAGATTTTCAAATTGGTTTCAGGTTGATGAAGGCGTATCTTGCCTTTTCGATTTCGGCTTTGATATCTTCATACGTTCCGCCTGTAGTTGAAACGATGCTTTGCAGATAAGTGAAGAGAGTAACCTTCAAATTTTTCTCATTGGTAATGGTTATTACTTGTTATTGCTGTTGGTTGGCTATGTTCACCTCCCCCGTCATCCTTATGCTCATCTGGAGTCCCTATCTTCACTGCCTGCTTCTTCAGCCTATTTATTGGTTTTCGCCTGTAAGTCTTCGAGTTTATGTGAAATTAAACACCAGTCATCTGCAAAATTCAAATCTTCTACAGTCTTCATATCAGTCCAGCTTAATCTATCTTCTCACCCCCCCCACACACAGTCTGACACATAATCCAGTCCACCACAACTACGACTATCATTGGTGGTAATAGGCAACCAGCCTTGTCTTACTCATGTATCACTTCGAACGCTTCGCTGAGTGAGTTTTCCGTTGTAGATCACCTTACTGACATGTGGCATTGTCATATAGCGAGCTGTTGAATGAGGCTGATAAAGACTTGGACACTGCACGCCGTAGTATTTTAGCAGTTTCCAAATTACTTCGCTGTCAACACTGTCTGGTTAGGGCCTTTTCGAAGTCGATGAAGTTGAGATAGTCTGTTGGATGACGATGCGTAGAGTTGTAATTTGATCAGTACATGATTTATCCTTTCTTAAATCCAGCATGTTCTGAGTGGAGTTCTGCATCCAGTTCATCTTTAGTTAGTAGTATTTCTCTATAGAATCTTAGCGAGTTGTTGCATTGCTTTGTAACGAAGGTGATAATATCCCATGAGTGTAGACGATTGCTTGTGGAGTGCTCTATAGAGACTATGAGTGTTGAATATTGAAGTGTTCTTCAAGGTATTAGTTTCAATGACACATTCCAGCCAAGAAGCTAAACAACCCATCAGAATTTTGATGATTTCAATTTGCAGCGATGGTGTTGACTTAATTGCTACAACAGCCTCTATTCACTTATGTTTTAGCCTTATGCAGTGAATGCTTCTTAATGAACAGTGAGAGAAAGGTCTATAATGTTGATCTATTGTGGTGTAGAAATAAGGTATTAATAGTATTTAATTGGTGGATGGTGATTACTAGTGGAATCCAGGATGCTCATTTCGTCCCATTTGGAACTCGTCAGCTGGATGTACCTGCATTTCTCTGTGAGTGATGACGTCCCCACCGAGGCTCGAACCCAGTGCCCATAGTTTCAAACGCCAAAGCGTTATCCACTAGACCAATTAGGCCACGAGAGCCACCTCTTGTACAACGGGTCATATTAATTTAATTGAATTTTTTGATTTTCCCGTCGATTGATTGGACCGAAGCGGTCGGTCTCGGGTTGACATGTCGGCTTCTTGTGCAGATGCGCATCCTTGATTCCACTGCTAGTCACCATCCACCAATTAAATACTAACTAAATGCCCAGACATCGTCGAAGCATCTGAACAAGAAGCCGACATGTCAGCCTGAGACCGAGCACTTCGGTCCAATCAATCGACGGGAAAATCTCAAATTCAATCAAAGTTATTAGTAGGCTTAGTTCTTCTCTGTCCTTAATGGTATCCAACAGTTCGTATTTGTGCGAATCTTCTATATCACATTATCTTCATGAATTGCTGTGTAGCTCGTTATCTTGAGGACTCAACTTTGAGCCAACAATTCCGCCTCACTAACTTCACTAAAAGCAGTTATGTAGTGTCGTTGTTTTCCCCACTCAAAGTACTATAGTGAAATTGATAGGAGCATATACCTGCACTCATCACTACAAGTGAACCGCTTGCGGTTGTCGATAAGTTCGTTTATTTAGGTAGTTGTGTGAATAAAGGTGACAGACAAAATTTCTAACCGCATAGGGTGGCTTTCGCCGATTTTCACCACCACTGTCACCGTCGTAATGTCAACCCGTCTGTTGAAATTCGGGTTTATAATGCTTTGATTCTCTTAGTTTCGTTCTACGCCTGTGACACTTGGCATCTTGAAGCTCAAAATGTCTGATGATTCTGCGTATTTGATCATCACTATCTTTGTAGAATTGCTTGCATCCGATGACAGCATTCTGAGGTACAACAATTCTGAGGTTTGGAAAGGTGTATTCGGACTCGGTGGAGGTCACTCTTCATTGTCTGTCGTCATCTGGAAACACCGGCTTCGGTAGCTACAAGAATGTCATTCCAAAGGTTTCTGTACCGGTCACACTTCGTTAACCCTTGAACTGGTTGGGAAAAGCTGAGAGTTGGTCAGTCTATAACATGTCGCCGGGGATGAAGGATATTGATGTTAGGTTAGTATCAGTTTGTAAATCACGACTCTCGGGTTAGGGTCCGAGAGGTAGTTCAAATCGGTGACTCTAGAGGTTATCAGATAACGTCGAGAATCGTAATCACTGGCGAACATGTAGTGTAATTTCCTTCTTTCTTCCCTCTTCTAAAAGTAACATAATGTGATGACTGGTGAATGATCTTGATAAGTATATCTTGCTTGCTTTCTGGATGGTGTCTCTCATTCATTTTATCCCCTATTCTCTGTTTACGGCGCTTCTCTTGGTGTGTCCGTCTGTCTGTTTTCGACGTAGAACTTTGCATTTATGTGCGGCAGTTCAAGTCACCACACTCCATGTAGCATACAAGCAAGAGAAGAAAGTGAAAGGAAATGCATAATGCAGACAGTAAACAGAGGTGTGAGACAAAGGAATAGTAGTAGCGAAGAACAAAACAGTTTCATTGGAAATCACAAGTCACAAGGAGTGGATGCATCTGCGCTATCATTGAGAACGATTTTGAGCCATGTCACCAGTTGTTTCCAACCATTGATTTTTACCATCCCGAGGACCCAAACCAGTCAGAAAGTCTTCATCTTCCTGCATGGCTTAAACTAACTGTTGTAGATTTCATTGACTGTTGACATGTTTTGGTTTGATCGCCTCTAGACCCTATATCAGCTAACATTGCCTGTCGGTCGAGGAAGGCTATGGCTAGTCATGCATATAAATAAATTTCGAGGAATTGATTTTTTACAATTACAATTAATAAAGAACTCCTTCTAATAGTAATAATAATTAATGCTTAGATATATTCCGTATGCTAATCAGTGTATTTTAATCAATCATTTCCGCGTATTTTATCCAGGATGGCGCCTGAAGTTGCTGCTGTTGAACGTAAAGGTGGTTATGATGAGAAATGTGATGTATGGGCATTAGGGATAACTGCTATTGAATATGCTGAACTCCAGCCTCCATTGTTTGATCTACACCCAATGAGGTATGTATTTTATTGATTGATTGATTTGTTATTTGGAGTATTGTTTAAAATTTGTATTTATATGTGACGAGTGCGTCGGCCGCTCTCGGCGGTAGGGATACCTTGCCAACCATGCTTTTGTTTGGTCTGCGTTCTATTCGTGGCCCGCACACTCCCAAACCTTGCACAACCGTTAGTAAACCTAGTAAAGAGTGAAGGTTGGGCGTAATGTGATCAGCCTTGCCCCGTGAAAGAAAAAACAAACATCAAATACCATGTCTACTGGAGCCTCAGAGCTTTAAACTTGGAGAGCTATGCTTCACTTAGAGCTCAAAAGATGAAAATAATAATGACGCTATGAGTTATTAGATGGTTGGAGGCAGTCGGCAAGAAGGCCTACTTGACCAAGGTTTCGTGCTTTTCGGAACTCGTCAGCAAGGCGTGTCTGCAGTCTTAAAGGAACTTATCTCCCTTCTGAGATTCGAACCTTGCGTCACACAGTGTTGAAATTAAAAACAAGTTACCCTTGAGCTTTTTGGACTCGCGACTGCTAACTTGACTGATCGGATTCAGTCTACACCACACGAATGGTTACACGCATGACATTAGTTACTATCTAGTATCCAGTCAAAGTATCTGATACAGTCTTATAGGAGATGAATTGTGAGCTTAAATAGCTCATTGGTAACGTCTCTCATACGGTTTCGAACCTCAGAAGGGATATGGGTTCCTTCAAGGTTGCATATACTCTTTACTGACTTTACAGCTAGCCAACAAGCACAACACCTGAGTCAAGTTCGGCTTCCTGCCGATCGCCTCCAACTGTCTAATAATAAGAATACAGAGAGCACGGTAATAGTGAGCCCCACCTAGCATGATGGTCACACTACAAACTTTGACTGATGGAATTCAGTTTTCAGCAAATAAAGATATGGGGGGTTGAACCCCAGACCGCACGTGAGGCGTAGTTGGCGAGTATTCTACCGCTGCATCCATCGACACCCACTACATATGTGTAAGCATTCATTATTTGAAAGAAACTTGAAGATATCGCCAATTGGCCTAAGTATTCGGTTTCCGACTAATAGTCCCCGGGGTTCAACGCCTTTCAGCCTGGGGAACTCAATCCATGTAGTACCATCAAGCCTCTTGCGAGTGTGGTTCTTAGACTGGTACGTGAAAAATCTGTCCCAGAAAATTGAGCTTTAACAAGATTTAAGGAAAGCAGATCAACTCAATATGTAGGGAGGTGTGTCAGATTTCGACATTAGGCTCAAAATCCTCTCTGCTTAGTGCATTTTGCATAGCCCAAGTAGCATTATTAAAGTGAGGGAACAATAGATGTAAAGGGTAAATATGTTACTGACCGTCGCCTAACATTCTTCTTGCATCATTATGAATTGAACCACCAAGATCATGTAATTTTATACATAATTGGCTTCTATGTGTTTTCCTTCACGAATCTTCATTTAAGCCATAAGATCATTGAAAAGACAGACTAATTTTAAACAAGGATTTAGTCGCCCGTTCGGTTGTTTCAATGTACCAGAGATTAGTTACAGGATTGATTCATGAGCTGACATCAGTTAGAAAGCCATTGGAAGACCTGAGAGTACTGCCAGACAGCTGTTTCTCTAGTCCTCGTTTGGGACTCTTCATGAGCACGCAGTCACAACCGGTGTTCGAATCCAGGACCTTCTGGTTACAAGGAGGGCTCATAGACCATCATGCCACTGGGACCCGATCCAATAGCTAGCCAATGAATTCCAATTTCTGCCAATTCACGACATAGCGCGACCGCTAGCCAGTGTCTTCGGCGACTATTTATCCTCACGTCCGACCTGCTGTATCCTACTGGACACGACTTTATTATTATTATTTTTGCAAATGAATCTTCGATTTTCACACAAGTTAATTGGATCGAAATACTTCGCCCCTGTTAGCGTGTCAGCGCCTAGTACAGACGCTTCGACGATATTTGAAGAATAAAACCGAAGTGATTTGGTGGATGGTAACAAGCAGTGGTATCCAGGATATACGCATTTCGTCCTGTTTGGGACTCATCATCTAGATGTTGAACGGGTATCAACCAGAAGTGGAGAATTTCGTGGCTTTGAGTGGTTTAGTGAATAATACTTTGGCTTTTGAAACACTGTTATTGGATTCTAGTCCCTTTGGGAAGTGATTGGGGAATTCAGATACATCCAGAGTGACAAGTCCCAAACCAGGGCGAAATGCACAATTTGGATTCAACTGCTAGTCAGGCAGCATGTCAATCAAATAATTTTAGTTGTTAGATTTTGTCATGAACCATCATCGAGCTTGGTTTCGTCTACCCTGATAACAATCTTAATCCACTTATTATTATTGCATAATTATGTATTCAGTTTTTTCCTTTCTTTTTTCTTTTGGATTTTGTTTTACTATTCTCATTATTATTGTTGTTACTATAGTTTCTCCTGACCCCACTGATCTTGACTATTTACAAAACTGATTTCTGGTCACTTCTAAATGTCTATTCACATATAATATTACGTGTTTTTTTATTTCCTGTATGTCGCTCGCTTTTTTATTATCGTTTCTTGTGTTGTGTTAAGTCAACTTCATGAATAACCATACTTTCCGTGTGAATTCGAAGCATTTACTTTCTGATACAAAGGTTGATTGCTGGATGATGACTAACAGTGGAATCCAGGATAACGCGCATTTCCACAGTTAATATTACTGAACAACACTGTGTGATTTATCAAAATAAAACCTTATCCATAAATGTGTATCTTCATTGTTGATGGAAATTATGTCTTTTCATAGATTCCAACCCGTCTTACCCAGTCTTACCTCCAACCAACTAATCATAATAAGAATAACTGAGAGTGCACTATGATGTCCAGCCATCATATAGCAACATGTTGGCCATATTGCAAAGTTGACTTCATATAAATCAGTCTACAGCAACACTAAGAACTACACACACGACACTAGTTAGTATCCAATTGAAAATCTAAGTTTTGAAATAATAGAGAAGATTTGTAGCTCAGGTGGATGATTTGTAATTCATAGTGTTCTCTGAGCTGGTTGGTTTCATTGCGGAGCTTTCGTCGTCCACCCTCTGGACAACATCCCACTTCAGCGTAATTTTTAGCATAAAGTGAGCTCATTTAAATTTCTTCATGAATGATATAATTACGTCTCCCGGTAACCATCTTCACATATGTGTTGACCATTATCTATTGACTTGGATTTTAAACTTTCTGGTCACCTGATTTACTTTTTATTAGTTGGTATATATATATATATATATATATATATATATATATATCTGTTTTCGACATATAACTTTGCACATATGTGCAGTAGTTCAAGTCGCCACACTCCATGTAGCACACAAAGCAAGAGAAGAAAGTACAAGAAAAGCATAATAGAGACTAAGCAGAGGTGTGAGACAAAAGGAATAGTAATGACGAAGAGTAATATAGTATCATTGGAAATCATAAGTCACAAGGAGTGGATGCATCTGCGCCAGCCAGCCATTGAGAACGATTTTGAGCTAGCCATTGGTTTTTACCGTCCCGAGGACCCCAACCAGCCTGGCAGTCTACACCTTCCTACGTGGCTTAGACTAACTGTTGTAGATTTCATTGACTGGTGCCAAGTTTTTGTTTGACCGCCGCTAGCTTTTTTCCAGCCTGACCCTATATCCACTAACATTGCTCGTCGAGGAAGGCGATGACTAGGCGTACGTAACACATGTCCTAACCACCTCAGTCTTTGCAACTTCACAACTTCGTCGATTGATTTCCCCTGTTTACCTAGAACTCGACGCCTAACCTCAGTATTGCTCACTTTATTAAACCACTTCACATGGGAGATAGAACGCAGGCACCTATGATTGAAGACAGCTAACTGGCATTTTCATGTCTTCCACTCTCAATGACCAGGTCTCACAGCTAGTCATAAAGGAGGACGGAGCGGACTAATGAGCAGTACACCCGCCCCTTGGTGGATAGTCGGATATCTCGTCCACGCCAGAGTCGGCGTAAACTGGCAAATGCGAAACGAGCCCCCTGTATTCGTGCTGAGATTTCGTCAGAGATCAACCCGTTGGGGCTGATGGTACTTCCCAAAATAAGTGAAGCGATCAACGTGCTCTACCACTTCACTTCCTATTTTTAAACTAGGCGTCGATGTAGTCCAGTCCTGTAACATCATCTTGCATTTGGCGGGAGCGAATCGCATGCCAAACATTCGTAGATTGCTGTTCAAGGTGTTTAGAAGACTCTGCATTTCGTCAGTGTCTTCGCCTAGAAGGACTATATCGTCTGCATATTCTAAGTCAACGAGATTACTTCCTGGTAGCAAGTCAATCCCGGAGTCGCTGATGTGAGTTAGGGTGAAATCCATTAGTACATCTGTGATGAAGTTGAATAGAAATGGGGATAATGGGCATCCTTGACGGACACCGCTAGTCGTCATCAGTTCAGATGACAACTCGCCGTAAGCCCTCACCTGGCTGTATGGGTACAAGTAGAATGCGTTAATCAGTGCGATGTATTTTCTCGGCATTCCCTTTACAGCCAAGCATCTCCAGAGAAACTCTCGGTTGACAGAATCGAATTCCGCCTTTAGGTCAAGAAATATAATGACTGTTGACTGATATATATCGTGAATCAACGGAAGTTGGAAATCACAGGCCGTTGGATCAAGTCGCAGTGGTTGTGAATGTTCTACGAGCTCATCTTGTAATTGGAACGTCCTAGGTTCGAGTCCCGAAACTAGGAATAAACAACTATTCAGTCTTCTTAACTAGTTTTTCAATGGTTCTCTAATCGATGTGAACTTGCAATCCAACTGATACCTGTGTTAAGACAGATCAATATGATATGATCATACACGATGACAATAAAAAAATATAGAAAAAAAAACAAAGGCTAGTCCCTCTACAAATCAACTCTCCGCAGATGCTTTTTAACAGTTTGCAGTACAGTAGCAAAATTTTCAATATTGATTCATTCTTTCTGTGA